AGGAAATGTGATACCTTTAAAGGAACACAAGAATTCTCTACTAACAGATTTCAAAAAGAAAAAAAAATCTGTCAAATGCCTGAAAAGGAATTCAAAATTATAATCTTAAGGAAATTCAGCAAGATACAAGAGAATACAGATAGACAAGTTAATGAAATAAGAAAAACAATTCTTGATCTGAATGAAAAATTAAACAAAGAAATAGGTATATAACAGAACTAAACAGAAATCGTATAAGTGAAGAATTCAATGAATAAGACAAAACAAATGATTGAAAGTTTCAACAATAGACTAGATCAAGCAGAAGAAATAATTTCCAAACTTGAAGACAGGTCATTTGAAATGACCCATAGAAGACAATGACCCATAGAAGACAATAAAAAAGAAAAAAATGATTAACAAAAAGAATGAAGAAAGCCTAAAAGACTTATGTAGCAACATTAAGAGAACAAATATTCATGTTTCTATTGCTTCATATTATTTGTACATATTTTTTAGGTACATGTAATATTTTGATACATGTATTCAATGTATAATGCTCAAATCAGGGTTATTGGGATATCCATCACAGAAAAAAAAGAGAACGCAAAGGCATAGAAAACACATTTAATGAAATAATAGCTGAAAACTTGCCAAGTCTTGGGAGAGATATGGACATTCAGATTCAGGAAGCTCAAAGATTCCCAAGTAGATTCAACCCAGAAAAGGTCCTAGCACGTTGGGAACTGTGGTGGGAAGATCACCTGAAGCCAGGAGTTTAAGACAAAACTAAGAAACAAAGTGAGATATCATCTCAAAAAAAAAAATTGTTTTAAATTAGCCAAGTGCAGTGGTATGTGCCTGCAATTCCAGCTACTCAGAAGACTGAGGCAGGAGGCTCACTCCAGCCTGGGATTTTGAGGCTGCAGCGAGCTATGATTGTACCACTGCCTCCAGCCTGTGCAACAGAGTAAGTCTCCATCTCAAAAAATTAAAATTAAAATTAGAAAAAGACCTAGCTATATGCTGCCTACAAGAAACATTTCACCTGTAAAGACACACATAGACTGAAAGTAGAAAGATGGGAAAAGATATTTCATGCAAATGGAAACTAAAAGTGAGAAGTAGTTACCTTTATATCAGATAAAATAGACTTTAAGTTAGAAAATATAATAGAAAATAGATCATTAAATAATATAAAAGGATCAATTCAGCAAGAGTATATAACAGTTGTAAATATATATGTATCTAATGCTGAAGCATCAGATATATAAGGCAAAAATATTAGAAGTAAATGAAGAAATAGATCCCACAATAATAATATTTGAGGATGTCAGCATGCAACTCTCAGGACTGAACAGATCTTGGCAGAAAAGCAACAAAGGAACATCAGACTTGAACAATACTTTAGACAAAATAAACCTAACAGATATTTACAGAATATTTCATTCAGCAACTGCAGATTACACATTTTTCTCATCAGCCCGTTATCCAGGATAGACCATATATTAGATCACAAAACAAGTCTCAACAAATTTTTAAAAATCAAAATTATAACAAGTGTCTATTAAGATCACAATGGAATAAAACTAGAAATCAATAACGTGGATTTTGGAAAGTGTATAATACATGGAAATTAAATATGTTCCTAAACAATTGGGGGTCAATGAAGAAATTAAGGAGTAAATAAAAAATCTTCTTATAAATAATAGAAATAGAAACAGAACATACCAAAATCTATAGGATATGGCAAAAAACAAAAACAAAAAACAACAACTTAGAGGAAAGATTATGGCAATAAACTCTTACATCAGACAAGTAGAAAGATTTCAAATAAACAATCTAAAGTCTTATTTGAACCTCAAGGTAATAGAAAAGAAACAACAAACCAAACATAAAATAATAAATACAATGAAAAAATAATAAATCTCAGAGTTGAACTAAACAAAATAAAGACAAAAAAACTATAAAATGAATAAATTAAAGGTTGTTTATTTGAACAGGTATACAAAATCAATAAACCATTAGCTGCACTAAGGAAAAAAGGGAGTAGCCATAAGTAATTTAAATGAGAATTAAAAATGGAGATATACAATTGATGCAAAATATACAAAGGATCATTAGAGATTACAAAAACTACGCATTAACAAATTGAAAACTTTGTGGTACCCATTCAGGGGAAATGAATATATTCCTGGGCTCATACAACCTACCTAGATTGAACCAAGAAGGAATAGAAAACTTAAACAGACTAATACTGAGTTAAAGATTGAATCACTAATAAAAAAAAGAATCTCAACAAAGAAAAACCCAAAACAAGATGACTTCATTATTAAATTCTACCAAACTTTTAAGAGACAATATCAATTCTTTACAAATTATTCCAAAAATTGAAGTGAAAGGAAATATTCCAAACTATTCTGTGAGGCCAGCATTACCCTGATACCAAAACCAGAGAGGAACAGCAACAAAAAGAAAAGCTACAGGCCAATATCCCTGATGAATACAGATGCAAAAATCCTAAACAAAATATTAGGAAACTGAATCTAACAGCACATGAAGAAGACTGTACAGCATAATCAAGTGAGATTTATCTAGGGATGCAAGGATGGTACAACATATATAAATCAATCAATATGATACATCATGCCAAAATAATGAAGAATAAAACCCATATGATTATCCCAATATATGCAGAAAAGTGCATTTGATAAAATTCCATTTCCTTTCATGATAAAAATTTTCAACAGATTGGGTTTAGAAGGAATGTACCTCCATATGATAAAGTCCATATACAACATACTCAAAGCTAACATCATATTGAATGGGGGGAAAGTTGAAAGCTTTTCCTCTGACAACTGGAACGAGACAACGATGACCACTTTCACCACCTTTATTCAACATAGTACTGGATGTTCTAGCCAGAGTAATTGGGGAAGATAAATAAATAAAAGTTATTGAATTTAGAAAAGAGGAAGTCAAATTGTACCTGTTTGCAAATGACAGGATTTTATATACGGAAAAACCTGAGACTCCACTGAAAAACTCTTATTACTGATAAATTAGGTAAAGTTGCAGGATACAAAATAAACATTCAAAAATCAGTAGGCATTTGTATACCAATGACAAACTAGTTCGAAAAATAATTAAGGAAGAAATTCCATTTTCAATATCTACAAAAACCCTGCCTAGGGATAAATTTAATCAAGAAGGTGAAAAAGCTCTACAATGATAATAACTACTTCAATGAAAACACTAACGAGAAAATAGGAAAAGAATACAAACAAATGTAAATACACAAGTTCATGGATTGAAAGAATTAATATTTTCAAAATGACTATACTACCCAAAGTAATCTATGGGTTCGTTGCAATCCTTATCAAAATACAAATGGTATTCTTTAGAGAAATAGAATACTCAATCCTAAAATTTGTTTGGAACCACAAAGGACCTTGAATAGCCAAAGCAATCTTACATCACATAAGTTTTAGTATGTTATGTTTTCATTTCATAAAATGTTAGTAATTAACATAGACACATACATTTCATTAGAGGCAGAATGCATGGTTCAAACTTATTTTTAAAGATTTTGCAACAAGAAAGACTATTTAAATAGGCAACCTCAAACAAGTAGTACAAGAACAACATGGTACACAAAATGGCTAGAAGCCATCAAAATACCAGTTTCTCCCTCAGTGGCTTTTATGTATGTAGCATTTGATTCATCTCCTACTTCTTCCCTCTTGACCATCTATTGTCTAAAATGTGAGACTGATCCAGGATGTAAGAGCTTCTGTATGAGCTTTTATCCACCACAGTTTCCAACTTCCAGAACAGCTTACAATAAATCCTTGAAACACCATCCTTACTTCAGATGCTTACCAACCCTCAACAACCGGGTAACTTGCCTCTGGCCATGGAAACTACCACCTTTGAAGTGAAGCAGGGAGTGGTGTTAACAGCTCCTCTACCTGGCAAACAAGGAAGACAAGAAGAAAGAAAATGTCTGATTCTATGGTGCCAGAGAGAAAATGTGAAACTGATATCCCAAGCTGGATTTCTAAACAATCTTTCCTACTGAAATGTTGTTATTAATTGCGATTACATTCTATTGTCATATTGGAGCAGTATGATAACAATACCTTCAATGTGCATACTAAACTGCTTTATCACTTCCAAAGTACTTTATTTCACCCATTCATTTATTTAATATTTATGATCACCTACTAAGGGCCAGGCACTTGTATAGGCACTAGAGTTGTATATGACAGTTTCTTTAATTAGTTTAATTTCTCTAGGGTTTTGATATTTTTTTCACTTTTTAGATGGGGAAATAAGAGTTTATCAAATGTTGGTATGATCTAAGTCATATAACTAATAAATACAAGCACCAAAGGCAAAATTCTGGTCTTCAAAAGCATTGCTCATTCTCATATTTTGTGACTAAATCTCTATGGTTGACATGACTTTTTAGGGAAATTGCTTCAAATTTCCAAACTACTGACAAATAAGTGTACATTTTAGAGAAAAATCTGTTGGAATGTTGATTATTGTTTATATATGCATGACCCTGCTTGTGAGGAAGTATCTTATATGCCTTGGCTTCTGTTTGGTGCGAATGGATGCTAATGGAACATATTTCCAAACATCCCATAATACATGAGTTCTTAGTACCTTAATGATTTTGTTTCAGGATAAAAATGTAAGGCATCATTGTGGTGCACAGATATAATTTTTATCCTTGAACTCCATTTATAAGAAATGCTGCATTTGGGGAGACTAGGAGTATATTCCTAAATCAATGAAATGATACTTTTTTCATTTGTGAATAATCCTTGAAAATGATCTATAGTTCTGCACTCTGAAGCAGATTAGGAGAGAAGGATGGATGGAGGTCTGTACCTCAAGTTCCTAAGAACAACGTGTTCCTTTCTATATTAAAATGAACCCATTCTTACTGCCTTTTGACTTCACTGAATGTGTTAGGAATGTTCCCTTATTCCTTTGTTTTTGTTTTTTAGGTTATTGCCCACTTGGCCATCAGGAATGTCAGAATGGCAAGTGTTATAGACCAGAGAAAAGCTGTAACTTTGTAGACGACTGTGGAGATAATACTGATGAATATGAATGTGGTAGCTCCTGCACTTTTGAAAAAGGCTGGTGTGGCTGGCAAAACTCCCTGGCTGACAACTTTGATTGGGTTTTAGGGGTTGGCTCTCATCAAAGTCTAAGACCTCCCAAAGACCACACACTTGGAAATGAAAATGGTAGGTTATATTGTTATAGTTGTTTTAATAATATTCCCAATGTCCATCACATTGTCTTCTCTGGCAGCAATTGGAAAGTTATGTAGAGACCACCGTGGTGACAATGCAAGTCAATCAAACATGTAGTAAGTGTATTTGTTTCCCAGAGCTGCCGTAACAAAACAGCATAGGTTAGGTGGCTCAAATAACAACATTCACATAATTCTGGAAACTGAAAGTCAAAGATCAATATGATGGCAAAGTCAGTTCCTTCTGAAGGCTGTGAGGGAGAATCATCTCTTTCATGCTTCTCTCCTAGGTTCTAATAACCTCAGAAGTTCCTTGATTTGTAGATGGTGGTTCTTACAATGTCTTCACGTTGTCTTCTCTCTAAGCATGTCTGCATCTGAGTTAAAATTTCCCCTTTTTATTAGGACACAGTCATATTAGATTACTGTTCACCCTAATATCCTCATTTTAACTTGATTATTGACAGAGACCTTACTTCCAAGTATGGTCACATTCATAAAGACTATGCAGTAGGAATTTGGCATTTTTAGGGCAACACAATTCAATCTATACCAGTGAGTAGTCAAACCCAATATTAATTACTATTTCAGTGATTGAAGTTAGATAATAATGTAAGGTGCCATCAGACACATTTTCTAAATGACACATATTAACAATCTATAACTCTGTATTCTGTCCCTCATCTGATCATTAGCAAGTCACTTAACTTTTCAGGTTGTCAAATTCCTCATCTCTCAAATGTAGATGATAAAATTTGACCTGTGTGCCTAACAGGGATTGTGGAGATCAAATGAGATGCTATGTATGAAGGGAAAGGAGTTTGAAACCTGTAGAGAAGCCATGGAAGCATAATTATAAAACCACATATGTTAAGGGTATTGGACATGACTCATTTTTATAGTAAGTGGCTGATGTCAAGTCTCAGACTCACTAGTCAAGGAATAAAGGGCATTAGTAGGATGAAGAAGGGTTCCTGAATTCCTAGATGCCATAAAATAGACAAAAATTGTCTAAATATTGAAATTCCATATGTCTATGAGAAAACATGACTGACCAAGCTAGGCTGACCAAGTCAAGCTGACCAAGCCAGGTTGACCAAGCCAGGGAAAGGAAGACCTAAATCCCATTCAAACTCAAAATGTTAATACATTCAGCTTTACAAACATGAAATATATTGGATATTTCAATACACAAGAGTAAAACTGAAAACCTTGCTTCTCATGTTGCATGTTAAAATGCCCAGCTGATGACTGGATTTTTGAAAGCACATTGTATTCCTTTTCTAGATATCATAGGGAAACTTTATACTGTTTTTACAATAACTCCATAGTTTGTGGATTCGATTAAGTGACTTTTATAACTATCTGTTGATTTGATGGCTTAAATATAATGTCAAATCCGTTCATCTGCATATTGTGAAACACTTTGTTAAAAGCACAGACAGTTGGAAATCATTCTGTCAGTGAACTAGAGGCAAAGCTATTCGGTTTCCTTTCTGTTTCAAATGATAACTGCCTTTGACAGTTCAGATCATATAAAATGTAATTAAAAACCCTAACTATGATGGAAAAGCTAAAATAATCCCCTCATTGTTATTTCATCTTATCTGAATCCTGTCCTTGTTCCTAGGGCACTTCATGTATTTGGAGGCCACTCCAGTGGGCCTGAGAGGTGACAAAGCACACTTCAAGAGTGCCATGTGGCGAGAATGCAGTGCTGCCTGCTCCATGAGTTTCTGGTATTTCATATCTGCAAAAGCCACAGGGTCCATTCAGATTCTCATTAAGGTAAGATCTTGGCCTGTGAGGTCCCTGAGGATTATGAGGGTTTCTAAGGCAGCACGCAGCCTGAGGGATTTTGTTGCACTCTTCTGATGTAGCCAGAGGAAACCTCCTCTCTTGTGAAGAAGCTAGCTCCTGTGGCTCAAATGGTCTATGGGGTTTGGAAAGCTGGGGCATGAGAACCAGCTTTAGTTTAACGTCATACTCTGTGACTATGTCGGAATCCCAGAGACTCCTTTCATCATAATAATTAACCTAAGACATTCTTTTCTTAATAAGTAATCTAAGACACATAAGTTTTTTATTTCTATTCAGTTGTTTCCTTCCCTATCCTTTTCAAGAAAAGAAAACAGATTATTTGTACTTCTGAGAGCAGCTATTCATTTTTTCTCACATATGAGCAACCAGTATGGGAACTAATAATAGACATTCTGGTTCTAAGCACACTGTGAAAAGGACTGAACTGCTCAGGAGAATGATCAAGGTATGATTACACTGAACTACTTATTAACGGTGACACAGTAATGCATTTTCTTACTGAGGATTAATTGGATGTTTCTGTCAGAGCTCTAATTTAGTATAGCAAAGTGACAGTGTTCAGGGAGCAAAATAGCAAAGTAAATATTAATATTAATGAGACTTGGTTCAAATACCTTTACTCTTTAGTGAGTTGAAACAGCAACAAAAAGAAGGGGTGTGTGTGTGTGTGTGTGTGTGTGTGTGTGTGTGTGTGTGTGTGTTGCATGTATGTTTGTTTATTTCAAGAATCTAGTGAGAATCCCAAGAAAACTTACTTTAAAACATGCTGTAGAGACCATGGTTGCGTTATCACACATGAGCTTTGGTTAAGTACCCTAACACTGATAGAAAATGCCTGAATTGAATACCAAAGAGTTCATATGTCTGAACATCTTATAGCTTCGGAGTCTACATTTTATCAGAATCTAGAATGGACTTTATAACTTAGAACTCTTCGATAATGATGCAGAAAAGCCTGCCTAATAAAATGCATACAGTAAAGAACCACAGTGATTTATTCTTATATTTAAGGAGGAAAACCTACTGAAATATATTGTTGAAAGTTCTCACAAGAGTATTTCACTAGTATTCTTTTGATGTGATAGTTGATTCTGTGGTATGTACTTGTGAAGGATTTGGTACTGCTTTGTGGGCTTTTACTTTGTTTGCTTTTACTGTTTTCTTCACTCATAATTACATTTCAACTATCTTATATTATACTAACCAACTTTATATTACTATCAAGAATGTAAAATTAAACTGTTTTGTGATATTAGTCTTCCTGCCAAGTCATAGAACTCCCTCCTGTGGTTTCTTCAATTCATTCCTATGGAAATTTAACAGCATTTTAAAAGACCTTTCTACTTCAAAAAAAAATCCTCACTATTTAAAAAAGCATATGCTTATTATTTAGCCACAGTGACTTTGAGGAAGACTATTATAACATATATTGATTTTATAGTCATTACTTTTAGGGCAATTAATAAGATACATATTTTTTATCATCATTACAACGTAGTTCTTAGTTTTCTCTCTGTGTGGAATCATGCTGGATTTTACCCTGCTCATTAGTCTGAAAGCATCCCAGCCAGATGGCAAAACCAACAGGGGCAAGGATTCTGCCTTTGATTTCTTTCTTTCTTTACTCCTCTGTGTTTTAATATGTTCCTGGCTTATGCATGTGTTTCCTTTGGCTTAGTCCCCCCTGCCTCTTTTCAGGAAGGCCTCCTTCTGTGTTTTCCCTCTTTTCCCTCCACACTAAGTCCAGCACAATCTGGAAGACTTGGCTTTTTGCAAAACTTTCCTTGACCATGTTTGCCTACCACAATAGTTTTTTTTCTGAGTGTCCCTCCCAGCTCTGAAAATGATTCTTGTTCACTGCTATTAATTGATACTTAATCTATTTTAACAAATAGACTATAAAATCTTGAGAACAAAGCACTGATGTTCACATGATGTTTGAATCTTCATATATCTCTCTCATATCCTCAGAGAAGGGACTGTTGGATGAAGTATGGAGGAAGTAGTGGTGTCCTCCCAGAGGCCACTGCTGGGCTTGAGACAACAATTGATAATCACAACTTTTGTGAACGAGTGGCCACTAGGCATTACATGCACAGCATTCAAGTCTAACATGAAGAGCCTGTAATCTAAATCAGAAATATCTACATATAATCAGATGTAAAGGCATGCAAACATTGAACAATAATTAATGGTGACAGTTGATATGGTTTAATATTGATTATAGGTCACAACTATCACAATACGTACTAGGATATGCCATGTATTGAACACGAACACTTAATTGTTTCATGTAATTCTTAGTGTAACTCAGTGAGCTGAATAATGTTAGTCTGTTTTTCCTAAAGAGACGAAGGAACCTCACAGAAATCACCTAACCTCCTTATGACTTAATGTGCCAACAGTGACAGAGTGGGAACTTGAATCCAAGTATGTCTAGATCCAAAACTCGTGTGTTCATCCCATCCTCATCCCCAAGGACTCCACACTGACTTTCATAATAAAATGGAGGTTCAATTTTACTGAGATCTAGATACATTCCATAGAATATTTTTGTTTTAGGAAAGCAAAACAAATAATAGTTCTTAGAATAGAAATATATGATTCTTAAACTACTTCTGTAAGAAAGGGGTATATTCAGGGAAACCCCAACAAAGCAAAGCTATTGCTTTAGAGGATATTTAGTAAAGGGCATCCTCATTTACATATTGCATATTTTCTACTTTTTTCCTATATTTCTTGCTTTCAGTCACATGAGAGCTACTTTCCAATAGTGAGATGCAGTAAAAAAAGGGTAATTTTTGTGTCTTTAATCAAGGTAATGGATGAATAACAGGAAGTATTTATTGAGCAATTGACATTTTTTTCTATTTTCTTTTTTTTGAGAGGCAGAGTCTCACCCTGTCACCCAAGCTGGAGTGTGACGGCATGATCACTGCTCACTGCAGCTTCAAACTCTCGCACTCTTAGTCACAAGTTATCCCCCCCCTCAGTCTCCCAAGTAGCTAGGACTATAAACATGTGCCACCATACCAGCTGCTTATTTTATTTTATTTTCTGTAGAAATGATGTCTTGCTATGTTGCTCAGGCTGGTCTCAAACTCTTGGCCTCAAGTGATCCTGCCTCCTCTGGCTCCCCAAATGTTGGGATTACAGATGTGAGCCATCGTGCCCAGTTTATTTTTTCTTTCCTTTGAAGTTTACTTTGGTTATAAATGAAACACACACACACACATACACACACAACTTCTAAAAGAAAATCTCTAAAAGGATGTAGTTGAACTTTCTCAAAAGTATCTTTTTTTTTTTTAACAAATGCAGTTAGTTTTTTATGAGATCAGAGTGTTTAACAGGTAAAAGGATAATTAGCACTCACTCGCTTGCTGTTTGAGCCAAGCCCAACACATTGTGAGTGGGATTCAGCCCACGGGAAGCAGTGACAATCTCTGCTACTCCACTGCCTTAATTTAATGGGTGAGCCAGTCAAGACTCAGTTGGGCTAAGTTATAAACCAGTAGTCACAAGTACATGGATAGAGTAGGACTTCAACTCAGGTATTCTGAAACTAAGATTAGAATATTACACGCTCAGTTTGGTTTCCGTCTTTCTATGGAAGAGGATTGGATGTTAATAATCTAAGTTTTAAAAAGTGGGCCATGTCTTTTTCTGAAATTTTAATGTTTATTTTTAAAATAGTATATCCATTCTTGATATCATTTTACATTTTTACTTACTTTTTAACTTATTTACATTCAGTATTACATTTCTCATTAAGTTGAAACACATTGCTTTTCAGATCACCTAAGATTTAAAACAAAAATTAAAACACGTACTCAGAAGTAAAATAAGGGTACTATAAAATGAAAATTAACTTGTTTTACCAACTTATTTAATTTTACTCCCACCATTTTGCTTATCTTTCTAGTCATTTGTTTTCTGATGGGATTAAGTAATGATTAGTATCATGTATATCTGAATACATTAAAAAGAATTTAGGGGAATTTTAAAATTTCTTTTTGTTCTTGACAATTTGTTTTCATATGATAAAGTCTATCTAGCCTCCAAAAGAAACAAAAGGCCTTTACATCTTTTCAGCTAGCCTTTTGAATAAAATGTGGGAACACCTGCTACCTGAAGAGCATTATCCTCTTTTGGAACTATTCCATCTGTAATAAACTGTTGATATTTTAATCAAGATGGCTGCATGCTGTAGGGAATTTGAATATATTTAATTGAAGGCATTCAGGACTATCCATTATGCAATCATGATAGAAAACATAATATATTCAAACCAGAAATGGAGAAAAATAATGTATTTCAGGAGTGCCCTCCTGATACAGCAACCTAGTTATGATGAAAGGCCATAATTAAATTAGTTCATTGCCTTATCTTACTTAGTGGTTCAGAGAATTTAGAGCTGGTGGGGTTCTTCGAAATACATTTAATCTAAGCTATTCATTTTGAGGATGAAGGAAGTAAAAATAAGAAGTTATATTTCTTGCCTCGGCTCAAATGGTATTTTTTTAAAAGCTGGGATATGTATCCAGTTTTTCTGACATCCAATTTAGGACTCTTTTACTTGAATTCCTGGAAATTCTATTGAATGATTTCTAGATTTAATATGAAAATACAGATTTTGTTCAATAGGCTACAGAAAATGTCAAATAAACAAAGGAAAAGTCAACTTATTTTGCTTACTTGGAGGTGGTGTGCTTTTACCCTCAATCTAGTGAAAAACAAGCCTTCGTTCTGTGCATGGGTCAACTGAATTAAAGGCGAGCAACTGAGTTAAAGTCAGACCTTCCAGACTCACCCCTGGCTCTTCCCCTGCACACCTGCTCACCACTGCTCTAATCTGAAAAGATTTATATTACAGTTGGGATACCCTTTATCCAAATATTGAAATTTAAAATGTTCCAATAAACATTTTCTTTAAGTGTCATATTGGCACTCAAAATGTTTCAGAT